GAGGCAGATATGTGGGGGCGTATTAAGAACGAGGCGTTTTAGGGGGGCGTGGCAGAGTCTTAACTTTGATAAAGAATATCTCTTTGGTTTTGAGACTTTAGTCTTTGCAACTTCAGGGATCTTATCTATACACAATCAGCTTGTAACACTCCAAAGAGAAAGGAAAACTTGAAATCGCATCATATGACCCCTTTAAGAAAAGTTTGGACACAACAAATGGAGCGAAATTTTTCATAACAGATCATCACGCAAACAACTTGCAGCACTTATTTCTTCCTGATGTCTATTTTCAAATATACAACTCCTGTTTCACTTGTTGTTTTGCGTCATTGCCGTTCCACTTCTCGCGTGCGTTTTCTTGACAGAACGTGGTTTGGGGACCGTGTAGAGTCGTTGGGTGACAGAGTTGTTGTCAGCAAATACATACTGGCCCTGATAATCATAACTTCTACTTACCGCTTGCTCCATTTCTGCAGATCAGTTTTTGTGAATGAATGACTTGCTCTACCTGTTGCTTTGGTCTTGCGCCACCTGCTGGTGAGCGACTAACAGCAGATGGAGAGCATGCATCGGTACTCTACTGCTATTCCTGCAGCTCCCGGATGTGCAATGGCGAATTTTCTGCTGAATTTGAACCACTGAATTAGTGGAAGCGAATTTGTAAAGTGAAGTAAAATGGACTGAAAATTGCCTGTTGAATATTATACATCGTATTTTTAAACAGATTGAATATTTTGGAAGTGAACTCTGGAAGGTGAATATGAATTATTGAATTTTTAATTATGAAAATGTTAAATGTTTTGAATTGAAATATTGACAGCTTAAATAAACAACTATTTCAGCCCCTAAAAATGCAAGTCATAAAAATGCAAGCACTGTTAATGCAATGCATTATTTTTTTCAGTTAGTGCAATTCAACATGCTTTTTTTTTTCAAAGACATTTGTCATTATTTTGCTTCCATATAAGCCATTCTTGCATTGCCTTAGCTGTGTGCTTAGGGTCATTGTCCAATTTGAAGGTGAACCTTCTGCCTAGTCTGAAGTTCTGAATGCTCTGGACTAGGTTTTCTCACAGTCTAAGAGTCCTTTAAGTGTTTTGTTTTTTGTTTTTTTGTGCAAATTCCAAGTTTTCATATGTTTTCACTGAGAAGAGGATTGAGTCTTGCCGCACCGTCTTAAAGCCAAGATCGGTGGAGTGTTGCAGTGATGTTTATCCTTCTGTAACTTTCTCCCATCTCCATATATGATATGGATCTCCATAACTAGAGTGACCATCAGCTTCTTGGTCACCAATCTAACCAAGGCCCTTCTTCACCGATTGCTCAGTTTGACCAAGAAACCAGCTTTAGGAAGAGTCCCCGTTATTCCAAACTTATTATTCCTATTATGCTTTTTCACTTTTTCAACTTTAGTTAGTCTGTAATGTTGCTGTTTGAGCATAAAAAATATCTGCAAAGTTACAAAGCTCAAAGTCCAATTCAAAAGGAGATATTTTATTTAACAAAAACTTTTCAAAAACTACAACGAACGACTCGTTTGGACTGCAATGCATATTTTCCGGGATTTGTGATATCACAAATATCGACGAATGGGACGAGACCTGGTTGAGCTGCACTTGAGAAGATAACGAGTGTTATCACTATGTCGGAGACGTGCTAGCTTTCCCAAGGCAGACGAACTTAGAGTGATTACAATCATCCGGGTTTAAATCGCGCTCAAATTGATTTGATTTTGACGCAATATTTACACTGAAGCTCGCAGGCGGCTATGGTAAGGGGCATGACATTTCCAGACCAGGCGCCGAGTGCTGCCAATCACAACACACACTGGCCCAGCTAACCAATCACAACACACACTGGCCCAGCTAACCAATCACAACACACACTGGCCCAGCTAACCAATAACAGCACATTTCGTATTTCAGAAGGCGGGCCTTCATTTGATACAGGAACTATTCGAGCCGTTCATGCCAGACTGGGGAGAGAGGTGTTGTAATAATGTAAAATATGTGAAAAATAATGTATTTTTCGAACAACCTAGTATGAGAGCCTGTTCTAGTACACCCCCAAAACAAAATCAAGACTTTGTAAAAGAGCATAATAGGACCCCTTTAAGAATAATGGAGCTACATGCTTCTGTGAACCTTCAATGCAGCAGATTTTTTTCTGAACTCTTCCTCAGATTGGTGTCTTGACACAATCCTGTCTCTGAGCTCTACAGGCAGTTAATTTGACCTAAGGGCTTGGTTTTCGCTCTGATATGCATTTTAACTGTTGGACCTTTTATTGAGAGTTGTCTGGCTTTCCAAATCATACCCATACTCGTACAAGTGATAGTAACATCTACAAGCGATAATGGAATGCTCCTGAGCTAAATTTCAAATGTGTGCAGATTATTTTAGCTTTTTATTTCTAATAAATTTGCAAAGTTCACAAATCTTTTTTTTTTTTTTTTGCTTTGTCATTATGGTCTATGGAGTGTAGAGTGATGTGAAAAAAGTAATTTAAAGCAGTTTAGCTAAAAAAGGCCTCTAACACTAGCTTGCTCTATTCTTTTTCTATTCTATCTGTTTTCTTTTTATTTATTATAATAATAAAAAAAACCTTGCTACGTGTGCTGCGTTAGGCTAACTGAGACTTGTTATAGCACTTGCATATCAT